TGAAGTTTGTTCTATATAATGAAGTCAGTTTTAAAACTGCGTTAGTCATATGAGGTGTTTTGTTTCTTCAAATGCTTTTAAATATACGTCAATCCTTAAGTGGCAAATCGTTTCTTTTGCTCCATAAAACTACTCTCCTGACTCAGTGAGGGTGTTCAGATAAATAGATAAAACATTTCGAGATAGATAGATAGATAGATAGACAGACAGACAGATAGATAGATAAATAGATAGATAGATAGATAGATAGATAGATAGATAGATATGAACAGAATTTGATATAGATAGATAGACAGCTAGTTATGAACAGAATGTGATATAGATAGATAGGTAGATATGAACAGAATTTAACATAAAGAGACAGCTCTATAATATATATATATATATATATATATATATATATATATATATATATATATATATATATATATGTATGTATGTATGTATGTATGTATGTATATATATATATGAAAATGTTTCTCAGCATTAAATTCATTTCGTTTTTGCCTTGAAAAGGTCCACATTGGACGAAACGCGTCGGCTAATAATACAGTTTTCCTATTGTCTTTTTTATATATATATATATATATATATATATATATATATATATATATATATATATATATATATATATATATATATATGTATGTAGAGAGAGAGAGAGGAGAGACATGAACACAAAATATGATAAATAGATAGAACAAATATATATGAACATATATATATATATATATATATATATATATATATATATATATATATATATATACAGGAGTTAGACAAAACAATGTGAAGATCCAGATTAAACATTTATTTATTGACTAATAAGGTGTTGGGTCCCCATTAGTTTCTAAGACTGCTTTGATTCTACGTGGAATGGAATTAAATAAGTTTTAAATTGTTTCCAGTGGAATTTTCTCTCATTCTCCAATCAAAATACAGTTAAGATGCTTCAGCGACGATGTGGAAGAGATCTGTTCCTCACTCTCTGATCTTGCTCTCCCCGTAATCGATCAATTATGTTGAGATCATGTGATTGCGTTTTCCATGGAAGATATTTAATTACGTTATGATGTTCGTTTTTGCCTTGAAAAATGTTCATCAATGTTCATCAAACCATGACTTCAAATTTTTGTAGTGCTTATAGGTGCATTATCATCTTAGAATATGGCACTTTCTGGCAAAAGTATGGTAGAGATTGTAAGAACATTATCATTGAAAATGTCGAGATATTGATCTGCAGTAATTCTACTATCAAGAGTGATGTTAAGGCCAGAAGAATACCAGGAAATTGGCGCCCAAATCATTACTGAACCACTTCCATGTTTAACTGTCGGGACTATACAACCCACATCATAGGCTTCACGCGGTGTTCTCCAGACATAAACACACCCGTTTGTTGGAAATAACGTGAAAGAAAATTGATCAGATCAAATAACGTTTGTCCGTTCCTCGTGTGTCTAATTTTTGTGATCATCACACCTTTTTTTTTTTTTTTTTTTTCGCAACGTGGCATTCGACTTTGCCATCAGATGTTTAGGAATCGTAGCTCTTCCATGGATAGCGGATTTGTGGAGCGCCCGTACGAGTAGAAATTGTATTGGATAGGTGAGTAATGAGTTCTGATGTCGCTTTTACTGCAGTAGTTTGATGATTTTTTGTCACAATTCGTTTAACACTTGTCCATCTTTTTCGATCAACTTTGGTTTCCGTCCACTATCATTACTCTTTGCTGGTGATGTTTTGTGTAAGCTGACATGACCTTGACACTACAGCTCGTGGTACACTCAATAATTCAGACGTTTTCGTCACAGATCGTTCCTGCTAAACGTGAACCAACTATTTGTCCTCTGAAAATCCGACAGGTCGCGCATTTTAGTAGGTATCTTTTTTTACCTGAAGATAAATATTGACTCAATTAAGTAGAAAATCAAGGTAAATGATTAAAGTTCTGACCAGTTACCTTTTATGCCGGTTTGATGTTTACAAATTCCCGGAAAGGCCGGAATTGAAAACATTACTCTTTTTGAAAGCTGTTCACATTATTTTGTCTCACCGCTATCAGTGAGAGCTGATATTTTAGTCGTATGGATATGAGTTTATGACCCTGGATTCCATTTTTCAGACAATCATATATATATATATATATATATATATATATATATATATATATATATATATATATATATATATATAGATAGATGTTTCATTAAAAACGACAGACAAGGGACTACGGTTAAGCTTTTTATTTATTTTTCTTGTGTTTTAACAACAGCTTTCTTTTCTGGACAAAGGATGTAAGAATTGTCCAAATGTTTTATATTTCCGAGCGCTTTCGGCTATATCTCTAGCCATCATCAAGGATGATTCGATTTTTCAGCTTACTTGAGTGAGTGCGTTATCTGTATGTCTTAGTGTGTGGTAGGATGTTTTTTAATTTCCGATTAATATATATATATATATATATATATATATATATATATATATATATATATATATATTCTGATTAATAAATATATATATATATATATATATAAAGAGAGAGAGAGAGAGAGAGAGATAATGTTTTTGGACGCAAGAAAACTGTATTCTTTGCGGAAAACGTTCGTCTTCCTCACGATTTTAATATTTTAATTGCTTCCCGTTCTGAATATCACGTTATATCCAAAGCTAATGTCGTAAATAGATTCATTTTCGTCCTAAAATCATCAAACGTAAAGTGATTAAATAGTTATTTTTTAATGAAAGCAATCATTTCGAAATCCAAACAGTTGTTACATATTTTCTTTTCAATGCAGAAACTACAAAGAGATTGAATTACAAAACATTATTGGAAACTACCCCCTCCAAAAAAAAATTAAATTAAATGTCCTAAATTTTTATTGCATTGGATCAATTGATATTTTTTAACTTATTTTACATTCTTAAGAACTTCAAATTTATATGCAAATTTATTAATTCTTTAGAAATCTGTAAGTATTTAAATTAATTAAATCATTTTCATTTATATAAAATTTCATTTTGTGTTGCAACCACATATTCGATCGTCAATGAAAGTCATCATTATTTAATTTCGCCCAACAAAAATTTCGGTAGTTTTTTCCACATTTTACACAGCGCTTTACACAGGGATTGCAGGATCTATTTGTTTGTTTCTTTTTTTTCTTTCTTTTAAAACTTATCAACATTTTGCAGGTTATGTAAAGCCAGAAAATATTCTTTTTGTATTGTAAGAATTTGGGGAAGATAATAATGGTTTACTGATACAAATCTCGATAATTAACCGATAGCGTGGGAAACTAATGTAGATTCGTACTTTTCCCAAGTTTATTTACGTGTAAGTTAATAAATGTAATGAACCCAACTGGAATTGGAACTCATTTCTCCGATTTCCACTTCTGAGCTGTTATCGATTGCAGGAGATAAATGAAAGTTTGCGCTAGAGAATTTAGTATTCATGCCACCCCCCCCCCGTACATTATCAACTCAGACCCTTAATCGAAAGGTTTGTGTAGCGAACTGGAGTCGGAAGTTGTTAGTAACATCCATTTTTGTTTCCTTCTCCCATGATGATGCTCATGTTTTATATATGTGGTTAATCGTTATATCACATCGCCGTCTGTTTTGCTTATAGCTTTGTTGTTTGTTTGTAAAAGAAACCTTTATTATTAACATTGCCATGTCTTAAGTTAAACACTTAACGTCGAAATATTGCATGTTACGAATATGTTACATCTGCTTTCTACAAGAAGAGTTCTTCTAGTACCGGCCAAGTTGGAGTTGATATTTTCAAAATAGAACTCGTGGAGTTTGGTTCTTCTCTAAATTGTACGATAAATTGTGGAGTCCATCAATCATTCTCAGGACTTATTCCCAAAGTTTCTCTTGTCAATGGCTAGCCTGAGTTGAACCTGGGCAAAATAGAGCGGTTATTTATCCCAATGTGTCCTTTGATTCATAATTTTAATATATATTCCAATTTAAGGGTGCCTAAATGTCAGAACAAAATTAGACGAACATTTGCAGGCATATGTCATGCGGACCCATGACTAGAAAAAAAAACAAGAAATTCTTACATATATATATATGAAGAAATTTTGAAAAACAAACAAAAATCCTTAAATGTAGTTATTCTGTCGGATTTATATCCATTTACACTTGCTATATATATATATATATATATATATATATATATATATATATATATATATATATATATATAATATATTTTTAAAAAAAAATATGTGACCTCATATACATACTTAAACTTGATGTTAAAATAATCCTACATAATATAATGGAGTCTAATACATTTAACTGTTCTTAAAAAAGAATATCGTATAATAAAAATTAAAAATGAGAATATTTCAAATCGTAGTAAAATAAAAAGTATTATGATCTGAACACCCCCGAAAATCTTTAAATTTATAAATAGGAAAAAAAAAAATGCCGTAAGAATTTTTTTATCGTTAACAATAATTTTTTTTTAAAATCCAGACGACATGCATTGAATGGATGTAGGTTTTCATTGAAAAAAACATCCCTACCCCTTACCTTACCAAATTGTAGCTCATAACTGATACAATATGACTGTCATAAGGAATACCTAGACATCCCTTGTCCAATTCAAGTAGAATATTCTGTAACCATGGAAACGGGATTTTAGCTGTGTCTTTAAAACCCAGTAATTTTAAAAGTTACTCCAAAATTCGCTTGAGGATGAAATGGAACTAATGCTTTTAATTTAATTGCAAAATTAAATTGGGGCTTTTAGCTTCTATTTTTTGAAACATGGTTAGAACTGTGTAGCGGAAAAAACATATTTTAAATCAATTAATTTATATATATATATATATATATATATATATATATATATATATATATATATATATATCAAGGGCTCAGTTTAGCATTATATAATGATACATTGTTAAGGGAGGCCAACCCTGGGCATCAATTCATTTACTTGCATTTTCAAAGTTATTTTTTACTGAGATACCTTACGGCCATATCACTTTGAAACACCAGTTCTTGTACGATTAACGAAGCAACGTCGATCCTGGTCAGTACCTAGATGGGTGACCGCGTGGGAATACCAGGTGCTGTAAGCTTGGTTGTGTGGGTGGTTTAATGCATGATGGCTTGTGTAATGGAATAACCAGTCACTACTAGATTGACTTGTGTGTATAAGTACTGGTTGTGTACAATAAAGCTTTCTTCTATTATCCACCTGGTGTTAAGTATTTATTCCCTTAGCACGGAATATAACTCGGAATTGTAAAACGGTGAGCCAATTTCCAGTTCCTGTTGGTTTTGTTATATTCACTGACACGCAAGTATCCTTGGGATAGGCATGAATTCAGCTATTCTCCCCGAACTATGGGTTAATTAGTTGTATCACTGAACCATTATTATCTAAAAAAAGAAATTTCTACAATCAAAAAATATTTTTTTTGGCTTTAAATAACATGCAAAGGATGGATAAGAAGTAGAAAACGAACCAGTCAGTCAAAATCAATTGTCACAACAGGGCATCATATTAGGTGCACCAGAGTAGTCATGTGAATCAGAGGGTTGACCTAGAAGATGACTTGGCAGATACCATGTGTCGATTTGCAGCTTATGTCAGTAGATGACTCTGATATGTCAACAAATTTACAATATTTAAATAAGATGCGCTTAGGATGTTTTTTTTTTTTTTTTCTTTTTTTTAAGCGTTTCACCTTAAGCAAGGCGGGAAGCCACTAGGACACAAGGGGTTACAGGAAATTTAGAACAAGATCAGATAGGAGTGATAGAAGAAAGGATGAGGAGAAGAGATAGATCAAGGCAACTGGAGATGTCGATTGACATTACATTTGAATAGCTGGAGATTATAGCTCACAGGGAAACTAGAATAGGGGAGGGAGTTCCACAGGCGAGAGGTGCGAGACATGAAGCTACTGTTTTTTTTTTATTTACGACTTATTTTTTACGATTTATTTTCTTACTCATTGTAATACATCTATGCAACTACCGACAGAGAAAACACATTCATTTATTCTTCTTTTCTTCTTCTTCTTCTTAGAGATTTGTAAACGAAAGTTAATTCTCGATTTTAAAATTTTTGCAAAAGTAAAATATTTCCTTTTTAAACGTTATTTCAAGAAAATTAGAAAATTTAAATTAAACAAAATTTGACACAAATATTAATAACTTATGGGATAAAATGTTCGATACAAACATTTTTTTTTAACTACGGAGGAGTCTTGTTTTTCTGACGTATTATGGACAATCCTTAAAACATGTGACCTTTTAATGCTAGATTTATCAGTTTGTACATCCATATTTCAGAGTTCTGCACGTAACCACATATACAAAAACAAACCAAAATTCTTTTTAAAATATTCGGGATCGTCAGCTCGTAATAAAGCTTTACAATACTTGATTAGAAAATATGGCTTTACTTAATAAGAATATTTCCTAATAATTATCACATTGTAAATGAATTTTAAAAGATTTAAAAACATCTCAATTCAAAATTGTAAAAAAATGAAAAGAAATCTTGTAAAAATTCATTTTTCTTCGATTTTCTTTCCTCAGACAATATTGTCTTTAGTATATATTATTCATAAAACCAATTAAAAGCTTCTCTAATTAAATAATGTCTTAGTTTTATTTCTCTTTTTATTATTTTTCGATTCAGAACAGATTTTCGGTTAGACCAAGTCTGATTTAAATTCATCAAAGAATTCTACTTTAAACTAATATCGTCACTAAAAATTATCACGTTGAATTTGTCGCTTTAATAAATTTAAGCACATGTAAAAAAAATTATGAAGGTTTTCTAATAAAAAATTTCAAAAATAATTTTATTCATTTGTCAATAAAAGCTGAAAAGTTCATTAAAATCCGACAATTGTTTAATTTTTTGCAAGAATTTCCAAATTACCGTGTCTGCCACCGCAAAAAGACGCTAAAATTTGCTATGCAAAAAGTTACTACAACTGCTGGCACAAGAAAGAAATACGAGTTTTTTAATCAAAACTTCGAATGTTCTAAAAAGGAGTGAAACATTTAATTAAATAACCAAAAAATACTTTCATCCTCACTCTTAATAATAACAAAGATGTTGCCAATAAAACTGTTTCCATTAAGTTTGGAGCATGTTTTCATCACGGTATGCTGATATTTTAGTGTTTTCGTGGAGGTACCTGTTGAAAATTAATGTTTAGTCCTTTCTTCAAGCTTTCCTTCACTACCCTCTGCAGGAATAAATACTTTTTTAAAGCAGTCTTTCGTCCGGTTGCTGAATCATTGCTTCTTACTTTCATGTCGTAAGTTCGAATCTTCTCAAGATTTCCTCAACAAAAACGCTAGTAATTTGCCCTTTTGTACAAAATTGAAATATATTTTTAATATACTGGAAGTACCATAATTATGGGATATATTTTAAATGCAAGCATCTCGGATCATGAAAATGACATAAAGTACCAAATATATTTATTATACAACTGGTAATTATTTACATTATTAGGACTATTGTTCTCATCTTTGTCGCCATATTTATCACAACGTTTCGGCCGTTGTACGCTCCGGCCTTCTTCAGGTGGTTGGAATTTCGAACTGAACCCTTTATTACGCTCACTCAAGGACACATGGCACAGTGGATAAAGGCGTTGGTTAGATCCAGTGACAGGACCCAAAGAGTGTGAGTTCAATACTCGGTTAAGGCAGTGGAGAACTTTCAGAGGGAAATTAGGAGGAGATAACTGATAACTGACATCCACCAAAACATGGCACGTGGAACAAAAACAGTCTACTCAAGTGAGCGTAATAAAGGGTTCAGTTCGAAATTCCAACCACCTGAAGAAGGCCGGAGCGTAAAACGGCCGAAACGTTGTGATAAATATGGCGACAAAGATGAAGACAATAGTCCTAATAATGTAAATAATGTACATAATACCTCATCTCAGAAATATAGACAGACTCACAACCGGTCATCTTTTGTCTTTTCCTCACTCCTCCCTATTCTCAGTCTTCTCTTTCGCTTTCACTCCCTTTAACCCTCTACATACTAGTGCCATTCCCACCTTGCTTGGGGTGAAATGATTATTAAAAAAAATCAGAGATTGATATGACTCTAAACAAAATCAACCATATTAAATTCTTTTTCTTGCTAGAAGAAATGTCTTCGATCGCTTAAAAATGCCAGTTCAACTGTACATCTCCTTAAGATAAATGTGTGATTCACCCGTAAAAACCTGGACTGAAATGTAGCATCGCAGAAAATTTGCACTTTCCTGTAAGTAATTTCGTAATTGAATTTATGCATTTGATACCGAACCTCATATCCTTAATCGATACGCCAATCGACCTTATCTAATTATACGTTACTTAACTTACAGCAGCATCAGTCATATGTTAAGGTAATAAGAGTGATCATTTTTACTTTCAGATTGTGTTTATATTCTGCAGTTTCATGAGCAGCAAGCTTCTGTGTAATGATAGTAGCGTTTGATAAGATTACGGGGTGATAAATCTTTGATATGTGAAATTCATGTTGTGTGAATCAAAGGTACGGTGTTTCGAGTCTTTCTTTGAACGTTCGATCGTTTCATGTGGGATTCTTTGCACCCACCCTGTACATCGATCCTGTGTGTGTTAAGTCCTAAGTTCAGTTTAGTTCACTACTTTAGTTATATAGAACAACTCAAAGAGATTGGGCTTCAGGTCTTTTTTCGAACGTTCGATCTTCTTTTTGTATAAATATGAGGAGTTCTAGAGATAGAACCTATGTGTGTATTTCCCAAGTTCAGTTGAGTTCACCTTTTTCGTTATGACGGTACGCCAAACAACATCCTTCGAGACCCGATTCTGCTCTTCGTGTCTTTTAGAGAACCTTCTAGAATAACCCTCGGGGAATGCTGAGGTGATATCGAGTACAAAAAATTAGAATTGGTATGTTTTACTAGGAACTTAGTACATATTGGTGTCACCAGAGATGAATTTACCCCTACAGAAGGTAATGAAGGAAAGTGGGAAGAAAGGACTAAACATCAATTACCAAAAGACTGAACGTATAGTCGTTAGCAAAAGAGACAGCCTAACATGCAAATTACAGATTGGAGATGCCGAAATCAAACAGCTGCAACAATTTACATATGTGGGAGAAGGAAAGTACGACACGGAAATCCGAAACAAAGAAAAATATACTTAAATCTTATGTAATATCCGTCCTCCTTTATTATAGTGAATGTTGAACAATCTCAGCACAGATGAAGAAATAACTTCAGGTAATAGAAATGTGGTTCTACAGAAGGATACTGAGAATATCATGGACAGAAAATGTGAGCAACGGCGAAGTTTTAAAGAAATGGAAACAAAAAGGATACCGACACTTAACACCAGGAAGAGGGATTTCAAATTTCTGTTGCACATAGTGTAAAAAGAGGGCTTGGGAAATTTGACATTTTCAGGACAGATCGAAGGCAAGAAGGACAAATGATGACAGCGCATAACTGCTATGGGACCTTACCCATAATAGCATAATGGACTATTCCATACGTAATAAATACTGCGCCTCAAGAGGAAGCAAGAAGTTCAGTCCGAAGTCAGGCGACCGGCTGAACGGTTGAACTCTCTGCCTTCGGGCGGGGAGGAACCCGAACGAGGCTACGCCAAAGGGCGGAGTCTCTTTCGGGAAGGTAAACCGACCCTGAACCCGTGTATAAGAGTTCAAAGGGCATATTTTTGGCCTAGCCCATGGACTCGAAGATCCCACGTTAAACCGGCCTTGTGCCACATGATGTCCTCGTTTGACTAAATACTGTTCCATCTGAAGTCTGAGTTCAGTCTGAAGTCTGGAGTGAAGTCCGTCAGGAGTCTGTCAGTCAGTCAGAGCGAGTGAGTCAGTCAGTCGAGTCAGAGGCAGCCCGATCAGAGTCGTGTTCAGACAATTACTACTAAACCTGATTGTTCGTACTAACACTTTCTACTTTGTATATATTCCTGTTTGTAATATATCTGTGTTATTCCATATCCGTATTCGAGTTCTTCTTTATTGGTTCTACTTTGGACTATCACCGTGCTACAAGGAACCGGACCATAACAGTAACCTAGCTAGCGAG